AGTCCTTCAGGCAGTCTTTTAGGACTACTTTCAGGGTTGCACAATGCCCTTCGGGCCACTTACACAGTGGGCCGTCCTCCTCTGGGAGTCCCATGTCCCCATTCCACTTGGAGAAGGAAGGGAGCCTGGGATTTCCCCTGGGGACGCTTTCCCCTGCCTCATATTTAGGTTTGTCAGGTCTCTGTTCAGGCAGGGCTGCTGCAAGATGGGGGTGCTTCGACAGGGCCCAGAGGACAGCGTGTACAAGGAGGCTCATAATTATATCAATACATGTATACCCATGTTTATAGCAGCACAAATCACAATAACTTTTTTTTTTTTAGCGGTACCGAGGATCAAACTCACGACCACGCGCTTATGCCGCTGAGCTAAATCCCCAGCCCCAGGAGGCTCTTAATTACATGGGAAAAATCAAATGGAAATAGAGAAAGTTATGGCTATAAGTAATTTTCACTTATTTTGGGGTTTCCATATTTTCCAAATTGTCTACAATGAACAAACACCACCTTTATATATTTTGTTTTATTTTTATGAGCTAGGGTCTCGCTTTGTATTCCAGACTGGTCTTAAACTCGCCCTGCAGCCCAGCTGGCCTCGAACTTGGGGCTCTTTTGTCTCAATCTCCCAGTGCTAGGACCCGGCAAGCACGCCTCGACAAAGCATAAATAGCCTTCTGGTTTCGTTTTATTTCAGTCCCATCAGGGGTAAGAGAAAGAAAACGTTGAGATGACAAGCATGACAGCGATGACACAAATAATAGCATTAACAGAATCTCCTACCCACCCGCATGGGAACTCGCACCGGGAACCCAAGCACCAGGCGGTGTCTGCAGACTGCCCGCCTCCCACGGCGGGCTAGTTCCTCCCCGCGGCAGGCTGACTCCTCCCCACGGCGGTTGGCTCATCCCCACGGCGGGTTGGCTCCTCCCCCGCGGCCTTCCTTTCCCATTTCAGCGTCCTGGAGGGATGGGGAGCCCGCGGGCGGGAGGCCCTTCCCGGAGCGGAACTCGGGGCGGAGCTCGGCGGCAGAGCTCTGGCTTCCTGCGTAGGCCCCGACACGAAAAGGAACACGCACGGCTCGGCCTCCGCCTTGACCCAAGTCGGCTCCGCCCGCTCCGTGTGTTCCCCGCCGAAACGCAACAACGCCGCCTAGTGGCCCTCTCGCGGGACGATAGCGGCCCCTGGCTTGGGACCTGCCACTCCTGGTGGCTCAAGAGCAAAGCTCGTGCTGGAGGAGCCGGATCATGCTCCCGCGTCCGACCGCTGCTGTCCGCCTGTCCGCCTGAGCGTCACGCGGCAGCCCGGCAAGGCGGCCGGGTTTCTGGGAGCGGGCATGCGCGCATTTTTCACTTAGGATGCTCTAGTTTATCGGTCTGTGACCCTGCTGCAGTTCAGGAGAGCCCTACGTTCCTGTCATTTTATAACTATGTTTTCATGTATAGTACGTCTAACTGGGAAATTAAACCTTGTGTTTGCGACGTACACCACGATGTTCTAACAGCTGTGTGCATCACTGACGCGCTGCCTCTCGTAGCTGTGCTTTGCTGGGAGTGAAACCTTTATATTGCGCCAGCCGCTGCCCAGACACCCGGTGGGCTCTGCAGGTCTGCGATCAGGCTCCTGCTCTTATTAGTGAGCTTCTGCAACATATGGTGCTCACACCCACTGCAGTGAGTTGATGCGTAGCTCATCTTCTTTCTACACCACCTCTCCTCCCCCTCCACCACCTCTTGGTCCCCTTCCTATTTGCAAAAGATCTAGCTCTCAGTTTCGTATTATGTTTATTGCTTTATTTTACTTATACTTTTGTAGGGAGCCGAGCGAGAGCGACAGACCATTGCTGCCTCCCTGTCTCTCTCCTATGGGCACTGCGTCTGCCTACATTAACCATAATCCTCTCCTGCTTACATCACATACCCGGATGTGACGGTGACCCTGTTGTATTCATCCCCTTAGCCTCTTCCTGTCCCACCTCCCGCCCTTGGCCTATAAAAGATGTAATCACTTCCGGAATAAACTGGGGGCTTGATCGGATCTTTTCGACTTGCTTCCAACTCTCTTTGTCTCCCCTATGTCTTTATTTAATCCCCGTTCCGCCTCCAGGTATACCCCACGGATTGATCCACAGGCCAGATCATACTTTGTGCTTCTCATATAAGAGAAAGCAAACAATACTGAACCTTGTGTGCCTGATTGATTTCATTTAACATTACGGTTTCAAGGTGCATCCATTTTTCTGCAAATGACTCATTTATTCTTTATGACAGAGTAGTACACCACGGCCAATAATTACCACACTACCTTTTATCCATTCATCTGTTGATGCATATTTGGCTGCTTCCAAGATCCAACTATTAATGAATCCTGCTGCTGTACATGAGTGTGCATGCATCTCTTGATATGTCTTTAACTCTTGCAGGAAGGTACCTAGAAGAATAGCCCAGTCAACTGGAATTTCTAGTTTTGTTTTGTAGAATTTCCAAACTGATGTGCATGTTGGTAGCACTGTAATCTGGTTGTACCAACAATGCAGAAGTCATAACAATTTTAACTGATCCTGCACCCTTTGAGCAACACCTCGGGTTCCCTCCACCACCAGCAGCTGCTGGCAGCTACTACTCTACTGCCTGCGGGTGTTTTACTTTTCCGGGCCATAACGGAAACCACACAGCACTCGTCCTTCTGTTTTTGGCTTATTTTATTTAGCATAATGCCTCCAAGGCTGGCTACATTGTCAGAAACGACAAGGTTTCCTTCATTTCCGAAGCCCAGCTGTACTCCATCCAAACTGCACTTTATGTCATCAGTCATGGTCCCTGTAGGCGTGCAGTGTAGTCCAGCTTTCGAACACTGACCACTGCTTCCCTGGATATAAACCCAGAAATGGGGCTGAAGAACATTACAAAAATCCTGTTTTTAATTTTTTGAGGAACCTTCACACCGTTTTCCACATTGTACTAATTTACATTCTTACAATCCATGTGCAAGCTTCCCTTTTGTGTGTACTCTCAACAGTACTTGTTACTTGCGTTTTTGATAAAAACCATTCTAGTCTGTATTCTAGAAAGTCCTCTTAGTGGCTTTGAAATGCATCTCCCTGATGAATTTTGATACTATTTTAACATATCTTTTGGAAATGTCTGTTTAGGCCTTTTGCCCATCTTGGGCAGGGTAGTTCTCTTGCTTTTGAGTTCCATGTGTATCTTGGATATTAGACCCTTAGTTAGTGTATGATTGGAAATATTTTCTCACCTTCTGTAGTTATTTCCTTTGCAGAAACTGTTTAGTATGATCTCTCCCCGCCCCGCCCCCCGCTTTTTTGTACCAGGAATCAAACTCATAATTCCACTTCCATCAGGCAGGTGCTGTACCTTGGAGCTGTAGCCTCCTTTTCTATTTCTGCACTGGTCTATTTCTACTTTTGGGATCAACTCAAAAAATCATCTCCCAGACCAGTGTCAAAAGTGTTTCTTGTTTTTATCTTGTAGTTTCCCATATTTAGAACTTAGGTGGTTTGAGTTGATGTTTGTATGTAGCACAAGATGAAATTTAGCTCTGCATGTGGATTCCAGGTTTTCCCAATGGTGATGATGGTTTGCCAATGAGGCTGGAACCCTGTTCTCCCTTGTCAATGGCTCCAGCCCTTCCTAAGTGTTTGAGACAAGTTCCCACTAAATTACCCAGAGGGCCAGGATTGCAAGTGCACACCACCCGCCCGGCCTGGCCAGGGCCATTCTGCTGTGATTGCTGTATATTCTTAGCATATTTGAAATTAGGTAGTGACATTTTAAACTTTGTTCTTTCTGCTTGAAGTTGCTTTGGCCACTGAGGGTCTTGTGGGGCTGTTTTCACACTACTTTTAAGATTGGCTACTTCTGTGAAAAATAATATTAGTATTTCATTGTTTTTTTTGAGACAGGGCTTCACTATGAAGTTCAGGCTGGCCTTGAACTCGCAGTGACCCTTCTGCCTCAGCCTACCGAGTGCTTGGATTACTTGCCTGTGCCACTATGCTTAGTTTATTAATATTTTAGTTTCCATTGTATAGATCTTTCTTCTTACATAAATTTACTCCTCTTTTTTTTAGGTGGTGGTGATGCTATTTTCTTTTTTTTTTTTTTTTTTTTGTCTTTTTCATTTTTATCGGTACCAGGGATCGAACTCACGACTGCCTGCTTTCAAGGCAGGCGCTTATGCCGCTGAGCTAAATCCCCAGCCCGGTGATGCTATTTTCATGTTTTTCGGGTTTTTTTTGAGACTTGCTGTGTACTTCAGATTGGCTTTTTTTTTTTTTTTTTTTTTTCCTAAATAGCTTCAGCTGGCTGTGAACTCCTGGTGTGCTCACCTGCCTCAGCCTCCAGAGTGCTGGGATCACAGGTGCACGACCCATGCCGGGCTATGCTTTCTGAAAGCTACTGGTTTTTGGCATTCAGCATCTAGAAATGAACTTTACCGAGTTTATTTATTATAAGTTTTTAAATAGTCAAAAGCGAATTTATTAAGCTTCAGATCTCTTTTCACAGAATGGGAGGTGGCGCACTGCCTTCCCAGGGCTGTCTCGGCCTCACTGCATGCCCCCGGACCTGGCCACGCAGCCAGCAGTCCCGGGCACATCGGCTCCTGTGTGGCCTGCCGTTCCCCGGAAGCTGAGGCCTGGCGCTAAGAGCTCTGCAGCACCAGCGACCTCGGAGGCTGAGGCTAGAGAATCACTGGAGCTCAGGAGTGCAAGGGCGGCCTGGGTAAGGCCTGAGACAGCTCTGGCCTCAATCACTGAAAGAAACCAAGTGCTTCTATGTCAAGGATGCTATGTTGGCTGCTGGGACAGAGCGGACCCTCAAAAGCACGGGGACACGCTGCGGCTGGGCATGTGCGCCCGTGGGGCGTGTGCATGGGCGCTCAGACCCCTGCGCCAGCGCGGAAGGAGGAAGTGCCATGCGACCCGACGCAGGAATGTCATTTCTAGCACAGGGAACTATACTGTAAAAGAAGAGACAGGACAGATTTACCCTGAAAGCTTTTATTCAACCCAACATATTAAAGTTTAATTCCACCACATACTGTGAACAGATTATTACAAGCTGTCTTTTTATACTAAATTATTTTTGGTACCGGGAATCGAACTCACAATCTCACGCTTGCCAGGCAGGCGCTGTGCTGCATTCCCAGCCCTTTACTAAATTTTGAAAACTTCGTGCACTTATTTGACTTCACAGTCTACATTTTTACCAGAAATACTGGATCTGTATTTCAACTTTATAAAATTTGGATTTAAAAAACAGAATTAGTAACTTTTCTAGTAACAGTTGAATACCTCGCTTTAAATTTTAAATATCAGATAAAAATTAAAATCACAGATTTGGAGAGTTCTGCCACCCATGTGGAAAGTGTGGGCTTGCTGTCTGGACAGGAGCCGCTCCCTCCCCTGCGTATCCACTCTAGCAGGAAAAGCAGCTTGAGGGTAGAGGGTGCCAGACCAGCAACTGCTGCTAAGGAAAGCTGCAGGCTTAGGTCCTAAGTTCACCTCAAAAGAAAGCACCAGCAAAGGAAGGATGAGAGGAAGGAAACTGGTACAGCGTGATTACTTGATTTTTAATATAAAATGAGTACAGTCACATAGAAAAACCATTTTGGAGGTGTACTACAGTACAGATTTTTGGACAGTTACAGGTTCCTATAAGCATCACTCAACCTGGTTCCCGGCCACCTGCCCCCAGCTCTGGAGAAAGCCTCCACCAGGCATGCCTCGGCTTGGATATCCTGTGCACTCAAAACTGCCCAGGTGGCCCTGGGTTAATGTGCCATTGTGAGCAACATTCTCTAGTATGTGTCCCACTGCTCTTTTTTTTTTTTTAAATCGGTACCAGGAATCGAACTCAGGACTGCCTGCTTGCAAGGCAGGTGTTTATGCTGCTGAGCTAAATCCCTAGCCCTGTGTCCCACTGCTTATCCACTCACCACTTGTAGGACATCTGGGGGTTTTATACTTTTTGGTAGTAAAGAACTGATACAAAGATATGTGGCTTTTTCCTTGTCTTTTCTCCACACCACTGGGGAATGTGCTACACACAAACACTACCAGAGCAACACTACCGCTCCCTCTGCCTTTCCAGTCCTACTGGGGTCCAACTGTTTCAGCTCTATTGGCTGAAAAGGTTATTCTCTCTCCCTAAATGCTGTAAGTTCAAAGCCAGCCTGGGCTACACAGTGACCTCAAGGTCAACCTAGTCTACACAGTAATACCCTGCCTCAAAAACAAAAATAACAAAAACAAAACAAAAGTATCCGAATCTAGAGCCAGAAAAAGCCAACAAAAACTGCAGGCCAGTACCTTTGTAGACATGGCTGAATGTCAACAAAACGCTGCAAACCAAAGCCAGGTGTGCACAGGGCAAGCGGTGGGCCGCACTGTATTTCCTGAGACACTGCTAAGCCCAATTTTGCAGATTCCACTTGCGCTTTTCTTGCAGTGCTGGGGCTGGAAGCCAGACTTGCACCCCAACACTGAGCTGCAACCAGTCCCAGCTTCCTGAGGCATGCAGGCCCCTGGTGGGTGGGTACAGGTAGCACCTTTGTGACTCCACAGCTAGTGACAAGGTCAGTTCTGACCTACAGTGGTGTGCATGCATGTCCTGCTGCCCTTCCCCTCAGTGTGCACCCCACACCTTCCCTTTACAGGCTCGGGCTGTGCTGATCTCGTGCCACTTCAGGGAAACAGCCTGGGGCCATCGGGGTCCAGAGAGACCTCCAAGCACCATGGCTCTCCCACCTCCTGCACCCCGATCTGAGGCTGCTGGGTCCTACCAGGCTGCACCCCGGTGGGCATTCCTGGCCTGTCCTCCTTGTCAGGTGCAGGAACCTCCGGCCCGAGGCAGATGTTGGAGCTGCTGTTGCCTTAGTTTCCCATTGAGCTGGAGCTATAGTGCGGCAGCTGTTCAGTGTGCACCTTCAACAAAACTCCCTCGCTGAGGTGCTGTGTCCATCTCAGCTGGGAGATGCCGCCCACATGCCTTACTCCTGCACCTGAAGGTGACCCTAGGAGGAGCAATCACCAGGAATGTGGCAGGGCTGCAGAAGGTGCCCCATGACCATGCAGTCCTGCCTCTCAGCTCCTTCACTTTCCCGTCCTTGAGCCCATCACTCTGATGTCCCCTTCCCTGTGGCTTGGTGGCCCATCTCACAAAACAGAAATGGCAAAAGCAGCTGCAAGCCACCACCACTCCAGATGGCACCGAGCCAGGCCCCTTCAGGAACTGCTCACTGCATCCATGCAACTGCACGTCCTGTTACGCTGTAGAGTGTTCGGTTCTGGTGAATGACACCCAGCATCCCACTCCTGACTCTGCTGGTGTTTACAGGCACCCAGAGTGTGGCTGCTGTGAAGAAAGTGTAGTTGCTATAAGCTCCCAGCCGCTCCAGCACCAACCCAACACTTTCTGGACTCAGAGGCTGATACTTTGGCAAAGTGATCAAAGGTGCAGGTATGTCCCCGACCTCTGGGAGGGTCCTCCTGCACCCACTGTCTCCAGCTGGGCTTGCTGCAGAAAGGACAGACAGACGGAAAGCCTCTCAACGAGGCTGCCCACCAGGGACACCTTCACAGCAAAGGGTTGCAGGAGGGGCCCGGCCAGCACCATGAGCCATCGAAAAGTGGTTGCACAGGCCCCACAGCCTTAGGGCAGGGGTACACCTGCTGGGCCCAAACCCAAACCCACCCACCCTACCCAGCCCGCTGAGCCGGAACACAGGGCCACGCCTGAGCACTGTCATCCCAGCCTCAGCACACACGGCCTTGGAGTGCGCAGACGCTGCGACTGCGCCCCATCATTTCTGGCTCTTTTAACTCCGAAGCCACAGGAAGGTTAGTTGCTCATGAGTTATCTGAACACAGAGACAGGTCCTTCTACAATGCACAGAGTCAGGTTTTCAGAGTTTATGCACAGAAGTGTGTAATGCAGCACCCTGAGAGATTCTTTATGGGAAAACAGGATTAAGGAATTTTTAAAAAACAATCACTTTCCTCTCAGAAATATATCTGGCAACTTTCTTTTTCAAGGCTAACACAGCAACAGTGGCATTTCAAAAATGTTCTTAAAGCTTTGTGTGACAAATTTATCCAGAAAGAGTGGCCAGGGTATTTTCAGGATAAAATTTCATATAAAATGAGATAGTCCACTAATTTTGATCCAAAATTGATATTAAAACCCTCTTCCAATTTAAAGATACTATTTATACCTCTTATTTGCAGTACATAAAACCCAATTAACTATGAGATTTAAAAAGGAAAACTTCAAACACATCAATGTATTCTCTAGGTATACCAAAAAGGTGAAAAGTTTAAAAAAATGTAATTAAGCTACAGTAAATAAATTTGACTATACCAACCTCAGTCAATTACTTCTTTATACGCAGTATTACATGAAACAGACAGAAGCCCTGAATAATGTATGTATTCTTTTAAGGCAAGGAAAATCTGATTATGTATAAAGCATAGCTATTAGCAGAGTTATAAAGGCAGTATGACCAATACATATAAGTCCACTTCTTTTTAAAGTGATACATCCACAGCTATATAGAATTTCCTGTCCCAAAGACTACGTATTTCGGGATTAAGCTTAGAAGCATTGTTGCTGTATTACAGTTAAAAATACTTCATTTTCCCAATTATGTATAAGAAGGCTGTATTTGTAGATACTTGTTGGGTTTGTTTGTGCCAGGAACTGAACTCAGGACCTCATGCTTGCCAGGCAGGCACTGTGCTACTGAGCTGTATTCCTGACCCTACTTGATATAGTTTAAACACAATTTTAAAAGACCTGCTATTACCTAGGTACTATTACTGTGTTCAGTAATTGTACTAAGGAAGAAGTTCACAAAGCAAGCACAATAAAAACTAAGCATAATAATTACTGCATTTAACGAAAAATAGCATCAAGTCATTCTGAATACACCTGTTTTGTAGTGATACTGCCATTTTATAATTACTGATTTAGTTTGTTTCTACCGTCTTATCTTCTTCAACAGCAATGAGAAGTAATTTTCTTTGGAATACAAAGTAAAATAATGTTTATACTTTAAAAAAAAAATCTGAGTCAGGTAAAAGCTGACTCTGTTAACTTTGAAAAGTTACATTTAACTTTTTGGGGCTTTCTAGTTTTCTTAATGAGAAAAAGGAGATAAAACCATTCCTCACTTTCAACTGTTTTGAGATGCAGCTTTGGTAAGGGTGGCTCAAGGCAAGTAATGGTGGTTATCTTTGCATAGAAGATAAAAATAAAATTAAGTTATTTCCTGCCTAAAGTCTCAGCTAACTTCTTAAGTCTTTTCTTCAGCTCCAGTGGAAATTTCTCGTAGCACTTCTTACAGACAGGCTTCATGTCAAATTCCACAAATTTATTCCTAAAGAAAATAATTACAAAAATGATTTAGTGGAAATGTATTTAACATACAAATTAAAAAAGTAATTTTACTGCATCATATGAACACTGCATGATGATACTTACATTTGTGTTAGTAAAAAACTGTAATTCTAACCTCTGTCCTTAAGAGGTAAATGTAACAAATTCACTGTATCCATTAAAAAACTTACCCATATAATTTATTCCTATATCTACTTGAGTAACACAGCATGTGTATTCCATTTTATTCAGGGAGTAAATAAGAAATCTAGTATAAATATAATTTTCTGTAATGTGAATGACTTATTTAGTGGAGGCAAAGTGATGCTAGTATTTTCGATTTAGGCAGCTGTAACTTTTCATCTTTCCCAGTATTAAATGATTAAATGGTTGGTCTTTTACTCCCTAAACACAAACAAAACAAAAACATACCTTAACGTGCTCATGATGGAGCCAGGATTCACATTTTTTTTCCTGACAGGGTGTCACTGTACAGTTCAGGCTGGCCTCGAACTCTCTATATAGCCCATGCTGGCCTTGAATGCATGGCCACCTCCTGCCTCAGCCTCCAAGTGCTAGGATTACAAGCATGCGCCACCACACCTGGCCCCATGTGTCTTGCTGCCAGGCAGCTCTGACCCACTGCTGGTGCACTTCTGACTGACTGACGGGTCAATGATGCATGTGCCCCTGAAGCGTGTCAAACATTCCCCTGTCCCTCATGGTGTTGGGGTCCAAGCTGGGGCCCAGGACATGAGGAAAGTGCTCACTGCTACCTACACCCCCTCAACACTGAGTCTTTTAAAAAGTTACCTTAACTCACAAATAGATTATTCTGAATGTCTGACACAAGGCTGGTAAGGGAGATACAGGTGTTTTACAATTGGCAGCTGTATGTATTGCAGAACTTAATTCTTCTTTTAATGAATTTACTTGCAAAAAGTCCTGGACAAGACTTTTTCCCCCCAAGACACAGGGTCCAGTTATGTAGCCCAGGCTGGCCTTGAACTTGTGGCAATCCTGTCTCAGGCTCCTGAATGCTGGGATTGCAGGTGTGCGCCCCCAAGCCCATCCAAGATAAGACAACTTTCACCTGGCCTCCCGACCATGGGGAATGCATTTCCAGCAGGCAAATGTAACGGCTTAGTGCTACTGGAATCCAGGTTCTCTGAGTTGAGTAAATACGTAATTTTAGAACTTGTTCATCTGCTGCGCAATTATATTTAGATTTCTGTGGATCAAGTTGATACATGATGATGTTTGATGAGAACTGTAAAATCTGATATAATTTTTATTCATTTTGTTTTTATGTTTTTTGAGTCAGGGTCTCACTTGGTGATTCAGACTAGCTTTGAACTCATGTAGTCCAGGCTGGCCTCTAACTCTTGGCAATCTTCCTGTCTTGGCCTCCTGAGTGCTGAGATTACAGATGTGCACCTCCATGCTGGCCACTTCATTCTTTTTAAAGCATACTACACTATTTGCTTTGAGGTTATTTTATTTTATTTTATTTTACTTCTGGTACCTGGGATTGGATTCAGACAGGTGTTTTACCACTGAGCTAAATCCCTGGCTTGCTTGGAAGTAATTTTAAAGAGAAATGTTAGGCCAGGTGTGGTGGCACATGTCTGTAATCCCAGCTCTGGGAGACTGAGGCAGGAGGACTGCTGAGAGTTCAACGGTAGCCTGGGTTATAAAGTGAGCTCAAAGTTAGCCTGAATGGATGGCACAGTGAAACCTTGTCTCAAAAAGACAAAAAGAAAAAGAAAAAAAAAGCAAGCAATGTTAACAACATTAATTCCTAACCACATACTTAAATGAAACTCTTCCTTTTTTTTTTTTTTAAAAGAGACTTGGAATTTTTCTCTAGCTGTTTTTCACAGAGACACTGATACTGATAACAACCCCTCCAATGCTGCAGTCCAGCTGGGAAATTAAATGCTTCCTAGAGAAGTCAGATTATTTGACTAGCAAGGCAAGTTTACAATTCCTCCCAAAGTCTTCTTACAACAAAAACTACAGAAACTGCCATCTTTTCAAAGTTTAAATGTTATTCCTGCTTTCAGAGAAACTAAGACTTAGCAAGTATTCTAACATTTAAAATTCGTATTTGCCTCTTTCTCTACATAAGGAAACATGAAAATGGAAATAATATTTCAGAGCTTAGACAGTGATAACCATGAAGTACAGAACAGAACAATCCTGCTGGTGATTAAACAGAACATCAAAAACTGAAACACTTCCCACTAAGCCAGGAAGGGAAGGGCCCGTTGGCCCCAAGCAGCAGTGAGGACAGCGTCCTGTGAGGTAGGCGCGGGACACCTGGGCAGTGGGAGCCTCAACTGGGAAATCAGACTCTGCTGACATGTGTAAGGTGCTGCAGATGCGGGCACGTGCAGCTTAAAACAACGCCAAACATTTAGAATTCTTAACTGAAAGATTTTAAGCAAACCGACACAGACCAGGATCTTAGACTATTTGAAAACCACCTATTGCGTTCTGAAAGGGACGCTTGGCCGCCACACCGCATTCTACGCAAAAGCGAGTCTGTGGTCAGCACGGACCATGCGTTCCCAGTAGTTGGCACGGCCCCAAGAGGCTCCAACACCACGTCACTCACTGGCGGAAGCAAGGTCTCAGGCTGCACATCAGTCTCTGCTGGTCACCCAGGCATGCCACAAAGGAAACAAATATAAAGCAAAAGACAGAACGAGGACAAACTCTAGGAGGACTGACCAAAGAAGGAAGCAGTGGAAACGGTGACAGAAGGGACAGAACGGTTTACAGACAGACTGGCTTTTTCTTTTTCTGCTTGTCCTTATCCTTTGCTTCTCTCTCGCGTTTGGCCAAGCGTCTCTTAAATTCTTCTGGCATTTTCTCATAACAGTGTTTGCAGACTGGTTTTAGATCGATTTCAACAAACTTATCCCTTTGAGCAGGACAAAGAAGGAACAGGAGAAAGAACGGGGAACAATTAACGGAAGAACCTTTACTTTCCGAAGACCTCAACAGGAAGAAGTAGTAAGGGGTCAAACAGTCTGTTTTAAAAATTCTAGGGCTATGGAGGTCGCCAAGTGCTTGGCTTGGGGCTCCACAGGACTGCTGGGCACAGACTTACTTGAGGGTCAGCTTGGTGTGGCAGGTGGAGCAGGCGAAGCAGTTCACACACCAGGCCTTGTTGAGGGCGGAGACCACTGAAGGAGAGAGACTGGTCACGGGACATGAGGGTACACAAGGGGATGCAAGGGGTCCCCAGGGTCTCCGGTGGGCTTGGCAACCTTGTCCCTTCATCTCCCATGAGGCTGAGCTCAGTAGTGCTAACTCTAGAGCTCAGGACCCACAGGCTGCAGTCAGTGCTGAGGCCATCATTATTCCTTATAAAAGGTCTTGTGCTGGAAGATTATCGCTGCCCTCTCTGCCCTTAAAGTGGACCTTTCCTTGGTCTCTGGGACCCAGGCTGTGCCCCTTGGCCCATGGACAAGGTAGGCAGCATCAGTGCACCCTGTCCAACCTGTCCTGTTTCTGGCCCTCCTGCTGTGGGGCTGCCAAAAAAAGATGACCCAGGACAGTGAGGGGGACCTTGTAGAGTTTTCAGGGCTACAGAGCCTACTGCAGCATAAGGGCCACAGGTTCACCACCACTAGCCTAGGAGAAATAATTTTTACAATCCAGATGTGAACCTTCTGCCTGTAGGAGTCTCTCCTACCACTGACAGTGAGAGATGCATGCTCCCCCTCATCCCTGCCTTGAAGTCTCAGGTTCCCCTCTGGGTCCTGGGCTGGTCTCAGAAGCCAGCCGTGCCCCGTGTGGGGCCTTCCCTGAGCCTGGGGAGAGGATCGGTGCAGCCCACCAGGACACACAGTGGCTTCCTTTATGCAGGGAGCCAGCCCTGTGAGGTCAGGCAGCCTGGCTGATGACACTGGCAGCAGCCTAAAGCACTGGGCTCCCAGGTTGGGTCACATAGCCAGTTCCGGGATGACCACTTTCCCTAACTGGAGAAACATTGCCAATCGTTCCATACAAGGCAGCAAGGCCCTTGCTCCAGGTTCCCGCTAAGGCACTCACCATCACCTTCTATGACGCGGTTGCAGTGGAAACAGACATCTCCAAACAGCTGAAAAGAACAAGTATGGTGAAAGGTCAGGTCAGGGCAGGTCAGGTACACTGGACTTCACCTCCCATTCAGCACCCGGGCCACTTGGCTCTTTCTGTGGGACCCACCCCAGCATGTCCAGGACAGTGGCCTCCTAGGATGGGAAGGATCTGCTTCCCTTTACTTTGCAGGAACCAGCAAGGCGCTGCTTTGTCCTCAGTGGCTAAGGCTCCTCACATTATCTGGTAGGCCCTAGACAGAGGGGCAGGACGTTGCCCACCCCCTGCCTGTCAGACACAGGGCAGCTGTGAATTTTAGTGCAGATGTCAGCAGGTGTCACCAGGCCAGCACAGGGCACAGTGCTCCAAGCAGAGGCTATCCAGTGTTCAGTCATGCACCATTGCCCATTTTGGTCTCAGGGACGTGGCTGGTGAACTCATCTGAGGCACAGCAAGATGTCCCAGCCCTGGAGCTGAAGGAACCTGACAGCCTCAGCTGGATCTAGGCTTGGAGAACTGCCACAGGGACGTTATCAGGCCACGTGAGAAAACTAAAGAAAACAGATTAAAGTATTTGACAGCACTAATGTCCACTGTTACATAAGAGTTCTTGTCCTTCAAGTTTTTAGGCATGAAGGGCCATGCTGAACTCACTGTCAAGTGCTTCCTATAAAGAAAATGTGTTTTGCACCTGTGCATCCAAGCACTGGCAGACTAAGTCTCTGTGTACACAAGGTTGTGATTTGCACGGCACAATCCAACACACACAAACAAAGTGGGAAATGTGAGTGTAAGCAAGAGATGCACAGGGTTCTGTGTATTTTTACTTCACAGCTTTTCTGAGTCTGAAATTATTTCTCAAGTAAAAAGTTAAAAACAAATCCCTGCTGACCAGTGTACATTTGCCAGCAATGTCCCTGGAGCCAAAACACTGCCAAGCTTCAAGCCCCAGATGGAAGCCTGGCACATACCTGGTTATAGTGGGTCTCGCAGTACGCCAGGCCCTTCCTCTCATAATGGCGGTGGCCAAGAAATGGCTTCTCACACTTGGCACAAACAAAATGCTGGAACAAAATGATACAGTCACTTAGCATCTGCCACTTTTTACCAAAGCTGCAGTAACCCCAGAGCTGCTCTCTCTTCGACAAGGACACTCTAGTCTTTGGCAGGTTGTGTTGGGGTTAGGCCTTTTCTGACAGCACTGCCGAGAGCAGAGTCAGCCCCTCTCAGGAGTGTCCGTGTCCTTGTGTGGTGAGTGTGTGTGTATGTGCGCGTGCGCATAGGTGCATGTGTCCATGGGTAATGTGTGCATGCATGGGTGTTGGGAGCCACTGAAACTGAATACAGGTGTAGGGCTGCAGCATGGCCGGGGCATGGTTCAACTGAGAATAAGGAGATGCCTCAGGGGGCAAGATAGGCCACAGCTAAGGACACCTAGCTCCAAGCCCAATTAATAGGATGGAGACTGTGGCTGCAGGCATTTTACTCCTATAGAAGGATTCACCTGGAGACTTTTTTCTTAGGATAGTTCTCCTTAATTAGCATAGTTTGTTGCTTAGAGGAGTCCTTGAAATCCTTCCAAGGTCCTGGTCAGGTTTCCCGTGTTTCCCACTTTAAGCCCTTCCTTGTCTGAATACTAAGTAAATATGGGCTGCCCAGAGACATTCCCTGTCTTAGCCATGAGTCTCGAACTCTGCAGAGGGTTTTGATTCTCCTGGAGCCCTAAAAATCACACACCACTTATTTCATTTATTTATAACTTCACTATACACTCATTTGGGAGATTGGGGATCTAGACCAGGTTCCCAGTACATGGGTGTACATGTCTGTGAAGGTGTGTGTATGCATGGGTGTGCATGTGTGCATTGCACCTGAACCACCACACTTTTTGGCCCAAGGAGATTAAAGAACAAAGTACACAGTACATCCCCACTGCAAACCCAGCAGCAATGCAATGTTCTGGATTCTTCACACAGATACCACCAGGTACCTGTCAAGTGCCCACACCTACCCTTTAGGACCAACCTCCAAACCCCAGGCACTCACCTCCACATGCCACTGCTTGCCCATGGCATTCACCACGCGCCCTTCAATGGGCCTCCGGCAGGCCCCACAGATGGGCACCCCCATCTTGTCATGGCATGGCAGGCAATAGAGCTCCCCCTTCAGCTCCCGAGCATCGGCTGTCAGCTCCTTCCTGCGCAGAGGGAAGCCCTTGAGCTGCTGAGAGTGGTAGCCCACATGGACAGGCCAGCAGGCCAGGTAGAGGTCACTGTGATGAGGTGTGACTTCCTCCATCTGCTCTGGAGATGATCAGAATAACAAAGGACCAGGCCCAAGGGATCTCTAGCCTCTTCTTGTGACAACAGCAAAGCACAGGAAGAGGCTAGGCACTGGCCTCCTCAGCCACCTTAAGAAGTCACAGTGCCAGGGGTGGTCCCAGTGTTGCCTTCCAGCCCCGAGGAGCAGGAGCCAAATCACTACAGCTGTTGTAAGCCTAGCTTACTATGAAATTAAGGGGGCGGGCATTTAGCTCAGCAGCATAAGTGCCTGCCTTGCAAGCGCAAGGTCATGAGTTCGATCCCCAGTAGCAAAAAACAAGGAAAAAAAGTTGGGCAGGAGGATCATTGTGAGTTCAGATCAGCCTAGGCTACAAAGTGAACTCAAGGCCAGCCTGAACTGCATAGAGAGGCCCTGTCTCAAAAAGACCAAAAAAAAAAAAAAAAGACAAAGAAATTAGGTTAACCAAAAATAAACAATGGAATGCCTGAAATCCACCTCCATGCTTAAGTTAGCTATTATTATTATTCTTTTGGTACCGGGGATCAAACTTCTGACCTTGTGCTTACCAGGCAGGCACTTGTATCACTGAGCTAACCCCTGGCCCAAGTTAGCAATTATTTTGTGCCACTAAACATTTAGCAGGAGTGGCCCCAATTGGCCAGATAGAATTGTGTGGATTTCACTTAGTCTAAATAATCTTCTAGGAATGACATTAATGAAAACTGGACAGAAAAAAAATCCCACATGGGGAAAGATAGATGAGAAAATGTCCTCAGTGAGCCAGGCATGGTGAGACACACTTGTAATCCTAGCACCTAGGAGGCTGAGGCAGAAGGATCAGGCAGAAGGATCACTGCAAGTTTGAAGCCAGTCTAAGCAACATAGTGTTTAGGGCCAACTTTAACTATGGGTAAGACTCTTCCTCAAAAAAAAAAAAAAAAGGTGGGGGGCAGAAAGTGTTAATTCATTTAAAGGTTGGCTGAATTTACGCTATAAAATTCTTCTGCTGATCCTTTACCTGCTGTCTCTCCTCTTTCCCTACTGTAATTCAGTGTGTATGCTCCTATTGCTACAGTAAGGAATCTTTTTGCATTATGTTCTTATGCTGGATGCCAGGGCAGCAGCACAGACTTTGACTGCCCGGGAATCTGAGGCAGGAAGATGACTAGAGGTCTGAGGCCAGCCTGGGCAGTATCGAGAGACTCACTCAAAACAAAAAACAAAAATAAAATGCCCATAAAATTCATATAGCCTAACAATCATCTAACAAGTCATACAGACATCTGAACACCAAAAAATTAACAATGTAATCAAGTGAAAGTAAATGTAATTTAGCATAATTTAAGGTAACACCCTAATTATAACAATTTAAAAGTTGTACTTGTAAATAACTTTCTGGGACACTATGTTGGAAAACTGGGGCTATTTCAGTATGAACTTCACATTTGATGTAAAATGACTCTTAGGCCTGAAGGAGGACTGCCATTCTGCAGGAAAATGACACCACTCTCAGGAGCTGCACAGTCAAAACGTCCACAGCTTCTTTTCACACTGTTCAGTGGAAAATGTCTGAAAGCTACTGCATGCACTGAGCAGGCATCATGTATACATGTACACATGCTCCTGCAGGGTACTCAGGGCGAGGGGGGCCCACACCACCCAAGGCCAAGACACAGCTACATATGCTGGCCCCTCCTGGCCTCTCTCAGGCCTGTGCTTTCCCACCCTGCACCCTGCAGACAGACAGTTTTTTCTCTGGGAGCAGCGGAACCCCCCACCATGTAGCACAGGGAGAGGACTGGGTACCCGCAGTTGGCACAGTTGAAGTGGTCAGGATGGTATGGGTCGTTCTTGAAAACCAGGGGCTGCTCGTCAATGATGGCGTGGCACTTCTGGCAGATGTACTTCCCCAGGCCTCGGGCTTTCTCTCGATTGTGACAGGGGCGACACAAGTGTCTAAGCAAGACAAAATGGAAATTCAGTCTTTAAGTTCTTTTTTTTTTTTTTTTTAAAGCCAGTCAAATTTAGCAGGGGGGTGGTGGTATACCAACTTTAGTGACACTAATGTTAATAAGTTCTGATAACCCACTGCCATCGGACCAGCCCTTAAGTTCTTTCTAATCATTAGAAAGAAACAAGATTCTCGCACGTCTTTAAAACAAAGAAACCATGTTTTACAACACCTGTCCTGTGCTCTAACAATGGAACCATGCTAAGGATTGGTGTTCAGTACAATTCCCTCTATACACGGGTCCCCCAGGGCCAGGGGTGATTCCAGTGCATGAGGCTCCCTCTCCAGCAGGGCAGATGCAGGGAGCCTGTGACAGCACCTTGGCCACCCCATCCCATGGAGGCCCATTAGCCCTCCCACCTGCCAGCGTTCTTCACGAAGCCGATGTCCGCCAACACCTCCTGGCAGAGGTCACAGCAGAAGCACTCAGGATGCCAGCTGTTGTTCATGGCTTTGATGACGCGGCCAATGATGAATTCCCCTGCAGGAAGGAAACAAAGCAGGTCCAGTGTGGCCCCTTCCATGGTAACTTGAACATGGGAAGAAACGGGGAAAGTGTTCATAGCTTTTCCCACAAAGCGGGAACTTCTCCTCAATGATACCTCCCAGAGTAAGCCCCCATAGAAAATGTGGTCTTTATTTCGTGGGAGTCCTTGAGTTTGGCCCTAGAACTGTATTTTTGGGCTTTTTTTTTTTTTAATCAATTTGAATCTGGCTTTCCTTTTAATGTCCTGGGTTCTCTTGATGTCTTCTGGATACTGGGCATCGCTGACACAGACAACTAAAACTCAGCACATTTTTTTCTTCATGGTCTTCCTTCCTCTGGTTTTATTATTTTGGTTTTGGTGCTGGGGATGGAATCCAGGGCCTGAAAGCACACGCACCACCCACTGAGCTAACCAATGTCCCTGCAGCACATTTCTTAACAATCTATAGCTGACTTCCTTCTTCACTAGATCTTTGTTACATTCTGCTCAAGTGCGAGAGTCCCCAGCAACTATCTGGCAGACTGCTGGCAGCCAGTGAGGTGACTCCTGAGGGTTTCTGGGACACAGGGTCTACAAAGAGCACCTCCTTGACAGAGGGACAACTCCAGTCAGGCCAGGCCTGAAGAACCCCTGCTCTGGTGTCCACAAAGACCAGTTCTCTCCAGGACTGGATCCTTTTTAGCTGACATATGTTAAAAACAGGGAAGGGGTAGAGAAAGTGTTCCTCACGATATTTATGAGTACCAAAACCGGTCTCCCATCACCATTGTAATATCTGAAACAGCTTAGGCAACTTGGAACTTGCTTTTTACATTTGGCAGTAAAACTTACCGCACTGGTGGCAGCAAGGAGCAAAGAGCATCTGGAAGTCATGTTCACAGTACTTCCTGCCTTCAAACTGGAAGAGAAGGGAGCCAAGTGTTGCCAGGAGACGTCTAGGGTAGCAGTTTGGAAGTAAGAGGTCTGCTCCAAGAGCTCAGGGCAGCAGTAACATGCAGGATTACTGCATGCCATCCTGCTGGGGTGCCATCCTACTGAAGGCTCTCGGCCTAGCCTGGCTGCCCCTGGGTTGAGCTTGCTTGTTTTTCTGCTCACCTGTTACCTTTCCCAATCGGGGCAAACCTACAGACCCCTTGGCCCAGAGAATATACACATGGGGACCAAAGGCCTGTGTTTTGTTGTCCCTATAGACTTTTTCACTATTTATATAAATACTTACAAAGGGCAAATATTTTAGCATGTTTTTAATACTAGTATCTGGAAATGCCTGCGACCTATTCAGAACTACCCAGACGGTGTAGCTGGCAAGCACCCACTGCCACAGCTGCTCAGGAAGCTAAGGTGGGAGGGTCAGCGAGCCAGTGGGGCAACACACAACCCATTTCAAAACAGAGCAAGGAAATGAACACACACTCATTTTAGCAGTTGCAAAATGTACAGTCTTTTTTCTTCTTGAACTGTTTTTGTTTCTTTCATTCCTGATTTATTCTCATATATTTCTTATACTTTACCCAATCACAATCACCTCCCACACGCTGTAGTTGAGATGCACACATGACGTGAAGCTTTCACGTCCCATGCTAAACACAGGCCCAGGAGCAGTGGCAGGCTCAGCATTAACTCCAGCTCTCTATTTCATCCTCTGGGGGCTGCTTCGCTTTTTAAAAATGGGTGGCTCATCTTTCATATAAGTCATGGGAATCTTACAGCAAGCATGGTCTCCTCTTGAATCTTTGAGCTCCTCACACGTTATCTGCCAAAAGTTGTATATTACTTGACTACCAAAATCCATATCTAATGATGTGTTAGCTGTTGATCCAATTTTCCCATTACTGCTGTGGATGTGGTTGGTACCCCCACACCCTGGGGTGAATACACCCACCTCAACTCAATTGTTAGTTCTCACTGTCAAATCAGCCTAAGCAGAGTCATTTTCTGTCAGAGTTTTACTTCTTGTTTGTTTGTTTTTTGTTGTTGTTTTGAGACAGGGTCTCACTGTTTAATGAAGGCTGGCCTTGAACTCAATGTGATCCTCCTGCCTCAACTTCCCAAGTAGTGGGATTACAGATGTGCACCAACATGTTTAACTATTTTGTTTTTAAATTCAGAAGAATAAAATCAAGTATATTTCATTCGACTTAATTCTTTCCAGAATCCAAATTGAATGAGAACCAAATCAAATTTCCCTATAAGAACATCACTGAAATTAACATTGAACGCAGTGAATTTGATTTGGTATGTACAAAAATTGGACGTTTTATTTACTAGTAATTAAACTCAGAAATCAAGAATGAAAACTCAATTCCATTAATTTATTTAGAAGTGAACAAGTTTTACTATTTTGATAAGATGATGTATATTGGTAAGAAGATGTAAACAGGTTAAAACAAAACAAAATAAAGCTAGTCCAGCAGTTAACACTCATACAGTATCTGTCAGCAAACGTTACATAAAATGACATAAAATTAGGACTCATTATAATTTGAGTAATCCTTTAAAGTATAGGGAATTGAATTGAGGGCCTTGTATATGTCAGATGAGTGCCCCAGTAACGAGCTGCACCCTGGCCCCTGAGTAGAACTTTTTAAGATCTGACATAAAATAGGAAGGCTGCTGGGTGTGGTAGTGTACACTTACAGTCCCAGCACTTTGGGAGCCCAGGCCAGAGGATCACAGTGAGTTTGAGGCCAGACTGGGTGAATTTGGGGCCAGCCTGCAAAGCACAGCAAGACTCTTTAGGGGAGGCGCTGTGGGGGAGGCAAAGGCAGGAGACAGAAACAATGAGGACAAGCAGACTGCCTGTGCCATGTGGTCTCTGGTGCCTGCTACCCTCTCACCCTGTGCTGCTTTGTTCATAGGATTTTTCCTGAAAAAGGGTGAGATCTCTTGACACTGGGGGATGGAAAGAGCAAAATTCTAAAAGGAATTGTGTTGCGACTGCACCCCACAGGTCCCAAACTGAGCACATCCCTGAATACAGAATGTCCAGGACAGTCTCCAAAGCCAAGCCTGGAGGACGCTTCCAGGAGAGGTCCCTGCGGAGCCTCTGAGGTGGTTGTCTCAGAGCAAGTCATGGCAGTAGGACAGAAGGCTCCTTATGTGGACACAAATGCACTGTCAGGCAAATCGAGGAAGACTCTGAAACGGAGCCCCTTGAGTTCTGTGATGTCAGGCAATACAGAATCTACCCATGAACCCTGCCAGTGGGGCTGGAACTGGCCCCCAGGCTGATGATCTCATTTCAACCCAAGTTTGCCCAGAACTGCTCTTGAGTTAGAGACATGGGAAGTACCCACTGCTATGTCTACACCCTCTGCCAGTCTTCTCACCATTAAACCACTCACTAGAAACAAGCCTTTCTTATTAGTCATCTTGGGACAGGAAACCCCAACCAGGATGATCAGAAGCAGCACAGTACCAAGGCCCTGGCCCTAGGTTCAGACGGTACAGATCTAACATTCTACTGAATGGCTTGTTTTACTTCACTACTGGAAAAAGGAAGGTCCTTCCCCTTACTGGAGACCATTAGGGGCCAGACCTGGGAGCCAGACCTGGGAGCAGCTTCCCAATGCCGCAGCAGTCACCTGACAGGTCATCTGTCCTGCATGCTGGACAGATTCCTTTTTGTATCACTATAATCCCCTGTGTCAAGATCAGTGTCACAGACGAGGCCCCTGTTTACAGTCTTGGTGACTGGCCTTTTCGGGAAACACTGAGAACCTCAACATGCTACTGAAATGGCCCTGCAAGCTGTATCCACTCCTAGGACCTGGACACGGTGTGGTCTACACAGCATGCCACCTCCTACAGGTGTTTATGAATGCCCAGCAGATGAATTCTAGCATGAGGGTGCCTAAGGCAGAAGGACAGCAGCAGGTTCAAGAGTGAAATCCTGTCTCAAAAAGGGAAATTCAAAAAAGAAATCCAGTGACTGAATGGAGTGATAATGGCTACATGTAGGAGAAAGTCATCTGTCATCTGCCTCTGAAGTGGCAGACCCAAGATAGCACTGCCTTAACTAGCAGTTGCAAGAGGCCGTGGGACTGAGATACAGCGGCAACTTACAAAGGCTCACTGGCAGCCAATGAAGAGCAGCTCACAGGACATAGCAGCTGGCTCGAAGAAAGATTTCACTAGGAACAAACACTCGCCTTACAGGTGCAGTAAAGTGAGCAACTGTCTCAAATTTACATATGGAGATCAATGTTCTGGGGGCAGGGTCAGGGAGCACAGGAGCCCACCTCAATGGCAACTTGGGAGACAACTCTGGGGCACGGGGGATGGAACCTGGGCCTCATACATGCTAAGCAAGGGTGCCCCACTGAGCCACACTCGGCCCTGTGGTATAAGACTGACTCAGGGTTGCTGTGTTTCACATGGAAAAGGATCAGGGAAGTGAAGCTCTCACTTCTAGACACAACTGAAAAGACGGGTTGTTTTCCGGAGGACTTGGAGAGCCAGTCAAGAGAAAAGTTCTCTTCTCTGTGACAGGAGCACCAAATCCCTGGGCCATGGACCAGACAGTTCATAGCTTGTCAGGTGCCAGGCTGCCCAGTGGAGGTCAGGAATGAAGCTTCATCTGTATTGGTTGCCATTCCCATGGCTCATGTTTCAGCTGAACTCTGCCTCTGGTCAGATTAGGGGCCAGAAGATCCTCAGAGGAGCAGGGACCCTGCTGTGAACTTCACAAATGAGGGACCTGGGTTGCCTGCTCTTGTGAGAATCCAGAGTCCTGTGATCTGGAACTGAGGCAGTGATGCTAGCCCTAGGGAGCCACTGCAAACAGATGAACATTAGTAGAGACGTCTGATGGCACAGAGAAGAATAAATTAGTTGCTTGGAGACTCCTATCTGTGAGTAGCAGGTGACAGTGAAGCTACCCTAGTGCCTTTATAGTGATTTGATGTCCTTCAATTATGCAGGTACCTCTGGTTGTAAACATTAGGCCATCTAATCTTGTGACATGGGGTTTTCAGCAGTGACAACCAAAGTGAGATTACCACGTAGACTGGTCTTTGGACTTCAGCAACATACTTTGGAGGTCACTGTCTCCTACCATGTCCAGACAAGATTGTCTAGTTGCAGGCAGGCATACAAGCTCAGAGGTCCCACTGATCCTACATTTACAGTGAGTTGTATAACTATTTCATTACACACTATAGTGTAATAATAGAAATAAAGTGAACAATAAACATGCTTGAATCATCTCCAAACCACCCCTCTTCTCCCACCCACAGACAAAGTGTCATTCATGGAAACTAGTCCCTATTGCCAAAATGGTTGGGGACTGCTGCTCAAGAGCAGGTTTATGAGTCTGTGGTCTGGTAAAGTAAATTAGTCACGAACACTGTAGCTAAAATAGCTATCTTCCTTCAGGCCCTGAGAATTTAATCTGGGCAACACCCAGAGTCACCCACATCTTCTGGAATGACCTTGGCCAATATTTATAGTCACAGCCAAAGGGGCAGAAGGTGGCTGGAGGACAGGGTGAGTCAGCGTCACTCTGCTCTGTGTGCAGCTGCCCTTGAGTTAGAAGTAGGGTCAGCAGTGAATTTGTGCAGGGGAGGGACGGGGAGCCAGTGCCAAAGCTGGAAGAGCATCTGCTGCTCCCTGGAGCTCTTCTCTGAGCTCCCTGGGCTATTACAGTGATGCACCTAACTATGCCTCTGAGACGAAGCCACATGAACTCAAGGCCCACACACAGTGATCACTTTCAATCACACATCAGGGCACTGAGGTGGCTCCAAACTCTTGCCACGAGGACTTAGAAGAGAAAGGCCAGAGACAGGCTCAGGAAGAGGAGGGTGGAGGCTAGTGCTGCCCACACCCTGTGTAGACACTGACCATCAGCTGGGTGTTCCCACAGAAATGAGAGGAGAGCATGTCCAGGGGACACTTCCAGCTCCATGCTTCCCCAGGGTATGTCGTCTAGGCACTTGTCCGCCTTATACAGTTGCCATTAAGGATCAACTACACATAGCTAAGTGGCACCACATGAACTGTGCAGATCTGAGCCTCTGACCTCCCTCTAAGTCACAGCAACTCCTGGGTCACAGTCTCCCCAGTGAGGGATGGCTGTGATTACTGTCTCCTTGACTCGTGTCTATCTGGCCTGTTGGTGAGGCCCCAGGATCTGTGTGGCTCCCCAGTCACAGGGGATGCTGTCCATTAAAGACTCTGAGTCATGGCAGCATCACCTGTTTCAGGCCTTGGTCTGAACCCCAGTAACAGCTTCTGGCTGATGATGCCTTCTAGCATAGCCCTGTCCGAGGGCCTCCTGATCCCCTCCGCACATCCCGGGGCCCCACTGAAGCCTCATCTGAGGTGGGCTTGCAAGTGAGGAGCAGGCTCTGCCCACGACTGACCCACCTCATAGAAGAGCCCCTCGGGAAAGGGTTGGAAGCACTGGGCGCACACGAAGCAGGGCTCATGGTACAGCTCACCATTGCTGTTCACAATCTTCTCAGCCGGTGCAAAGCCACCCTTGCAGCGCTCACAGGTAGCGCTGGCCAGGGCATTGGCCATGTTGCTGCAATGCAAAAGGACAGTAGGTTAGAGGTGGTCAGTTCAGTCACATAAGGAGTACATCTGTGTGGTCCCATACTTGTATTGAATCTACAAAGTCTGTATTCTCCAATTGCCCATTTTGTTGCCTGGGCATCTTACGTCTCGAAAGGGCTTCCTGCGTTGACCATTCCTGTCTTTAAACTGGCATTCTTTCTGCTATATTTATAAGGAGCTGGAGCTTGCCATGCACTAGGGACAGAGACGAAAGTAGAGCTCCTCTCAAGCCAGCACAGTGGGATGTGTCTACAGCCCCAGCCACTTATGAAGCTGAGGCAAGACGAAGCAGGGGAAGCAAGGTGGGGTGGGGAGGAAGTGGAAAAGAAGACGATACTCCTGAGGAATTCGAGTTTATAGCACAGGTACTTAGGTAGTTTAGTCAAAGCACCTACAAGACAACATCTCAAGCCAATTTCTTTTCCCTTTGAGAAAAAAGCTCAACTGCATGGCAATGGAAGGCTGGGTCTGAGCCTAAACATAAAACATCCCTTTGACTGGGTCTGTTCAAAGCAAATGCTCAACTCCTGACCCTTGCCAGGATGCCCTGTCCTGATAGCTGACTGATACTGTCACAATGTCTCTTAAAGTCCAAGATTTTACATCCTAAGGCTCATTTTATGGTCAGTGAAACAAATGCTCTCAGCCTACTGAGAAAGCTACTGAGAGCAACTGAGTTCATGGAGGCACAGAGCAGAACCCAGGTCCCTTGCTTGTAAAATAACAGAGCCCACCACCACAGATGCCATTACAGATTCCCAGCATGGGGAGAACATGGCAGAGACACAGTATACTTTGTAGGCTGGGACAGTACAAAGCCAGGCAAGAAGTGACCACTGCCAAGCCCAATGGCTATGGCAACTCCCTCATCAGCAATGTGGCTGTACCCAGGAACAGCTCAGCAAGTGACCCCAGATCCCTGGGATCACTGCGGCCTGGAAGAACAGAGCAGCATGGCTGTAGCAGTTGCAGGGCTGAGTGAGGACAGTTTCCAAAAGCCCTAGCAATGAGACAGTGACTTGTGCTGAGCAGTCCTGGGTCACGTCACCCTCTCTGAGCACAAGCTCCACTTGTGTCTCTGGTCTCAGCACAGTGCTGGCCTTCTGGGTACTGTCTGGATCCATTAGGGAATATCACTGCCACATCCTTACAAGTCCTCACTATGACCTTCAAGGCAGATGGGTCAGTGAGTCCCATTTATAGGCAGGGTACCTCCCTGTCTTGCTCCACCCATTTCTGCTATTTCGTGAGCGAGTATGGTGACACTTGCCTTCTTCCCTGGAATGTTCAAAGAATACTGAGCCAATACCATAGCCTCGCTGGAGGAACTCTAAGCAGAAATCTCAGCCACATAATCTCACACCTTGACTTTATTTAATAGGCTTCAATACAGAATTAAAATGCCACCAAAGAAAGCAAGGAAAGCAGGAGCCAGTTGCACAGGTGGTTGAACTGGCCAAGGCTCACAGTAGAATGAAGTGTCCACTCTGTCATCTCAGAATTACTGTGGGATAGGCGAGCAGGTGACCTTTCCTTTGCCACAAACCAACTGCGGCCACTTCGGTAAAGCCGGGGAGCCATATGCTCTTCCCTTCTCCTGAACCAGACCCATGGAATTCCTAAGTGGCAAGGTGCAGTGAGATGCACATCTGCTCCATAATTCTCACAACTGCTTTGAGGATGAAGTTTTAAAAAGCATAAAACACCACTTTGGAAACCAGATGATGCCACTAAAATATATATTGCTAATATTCCAAGTACTCTCAAAAGATCCCCCACATTTCAGTGATCTTAACAGAACTCTAGAAAAGCTGGAGAAGAATACTTCAGTCTGTCCTGATTCACTTCCACCAACATCCTACGTTCTGCAAAGCATGCAGGTCACATAGCCCATGCAGGGCCAGAAGGTCCTCTCTGCCCAGCAACATCCCACGGGGACCATCTTCCATCTCCATCAGATAACATGCTGTACAAGGGAAGGCTGAAACAGACACAGGAAAATGCCGTTTATCAAAACAGGCATCAGGGCTGGGCATTTAGCTCAGAGGCATAAGTGCCTGTCTAGCAAGCATAAGGTCGTGAGTTCGATCCCTGGTCCCACAAAGAAAACAAAAAAAACAAAAAAAACAAAAAATAGCTATCAGTAAGATTTGCAAACTGTGAAACAATGCCATTCTCCCCACTAAACTATTTTCATTTTGGAAAATAATTTTTCATAAAACATTAATATTACCACTTACTTATCTTAATAACATTTAACGAGTTTACTGTTACTTCTGCGGGTAAATAAAAGCTCTCAGGGTAGAGAGTGAGGAGGTTTCAGACTCACATGCTGTTACCACCAAATGCTTGATTCCTACTCAGACGCAGCTGACTTCACATTGCAGTCCTAGCACTCAGGTGAAGTATCAAAAGAGGCATGTTACAGAGACAGGCACACAAGTCTGCAGATAATGTAAGTGTACTTTTCAAGAAGTGTTTAATAGTAGAAGGGAAAAGGGAAATAGAAGCCACCTTGCTGACTGACTGACCCCTCCTGTTGCCCTTTCCTCCGCTGTCCTAGCCTGGAACTGTGTATGTTTCTGTCTCTGATTTTTATTTCATACTACCTATGACAGACATTACCTTTTCCAAAGTCCTGAATGTCATTAGATTATTTGTAATTAACTGGTTAATCTTTCAGACAGCCAGGGCACACGGAGTGGAGAGGGATACTTACTGAGGCGACCTCCTAGTCTGCTCCTGCACTCCTACACCTGTCAGGCTGCTACCCCACGCCCACAGTTACCACGGAAACCAACTTTCTCCTCCCACAGTGCAGCTGTGTGTGAGACCCAAGCCTGGTCCCAAGAGTTTACGAGCAAATAACTCCCCAGGAAAACGTTTATCTTTACAAATTACAAGTTTCAGTGTTTCTTCCAACCTGCCCTCTATTTTGTAAGTGTTAGGGTTGTTTCCCTTATAAACCTTACCCTACTCCTAACATCACAGAAGCACTGGCCAGAGCCAGCAGCACAAGGGCTCCCCATCTTCTGTCTCTGTGCTCCACTGAGACCTGCTACCTCACAACCCTGGAAAAGTCCCCTGGAACTGGAATAAACCCCTATTGGCAATGGAATTGGGGAGACTCACAATTTTGCGTAAAAGTCACAAAACTCCTTGTAGATTTTTATGTCACTGTGCCTGCGCTGCAGTCGGGACACAGCTCTGTCATCTCCGTCAGACTGGTGGATACCATCTGGCATTGTACAAGGGGTCTCCTCACTCTCAGGGATGGCACTGGGACGCACTTGCTCCAAGAAGGCCATCTGTGAGAGCTGGGGTGCAATCGAGCAGAACAGAGCAGAACAAACAGGAGGACAGGATCTGGGCCTCCGCCTCTAGTAGGTCACGGCTCCCACGCCCAGCAGCTGGCCGGCATCCCAGGCGGGAAGGCTCAGTGTTCAGAGGGCCCAGGGTTTCCTGAGGTGATAGAAAAACCTTCCCCAGGCTTCCTTGTGGACAACAGCCACAAACTACTGTGGGGATGCATGACTGCTGCTCATATCTCCAGGAGAAAAAGGGCCCCGTGTACCCTGGTACTTCTGAGGATCAGGCTGGCACCGTGCTACTCATTGTGTGGTGCAGATTCCCTGCAGAGTATGCAGGGCACCTTTCAAGCTCCCATGAGGGGACACTGCCAGCACCCCTGCAGTGGCACCCACCTGTGCCTGGGAATCTGTGAATTCATTAATTTCAACAGTTTCTGGTTTTCCTTTAGTCTGTTTTTGTTTTGAGATGGAGTCTCATTGTGCTGCCAAGGCTGGCTGTGCTGTACCCATCTGGCCAGCCTTGGCTCCAGGTTTTTCCATACATAAAAACCTATTGTCTACAAGCAGGGATATTATGACCTCCTCCCTTTCTATTTGCATGCCCTTAAACAGAGCTCTTAAAAAGATGTTACCTCAATGTGAACTGCTTTTATGATCAAAAAAGGAAAATACTAGGAAAATATTTAAAAACCCTTTAGTTTGACAGCATTTATATGGGGTAAGATATATTTGTGGCTTTGTCTTTGTTTACAGTCCCCTCCGCCCCCATCCTTTCCTCCTTACTTTTTCATCACCTAGAAAAATATCACAGGCTAGGAGCCAGAGGCACTGAAGCAAGGAAAGATGGGCGTGGACAAGGGACAGCATGGTTGCCTCTGTGGTGCAGCTCTGTCCTGGCAGCCTCTCATTAGGATCATTGCCCACCCGCTGATTCTTGGCATAAGCATTACAGGACAATAAATGCTTTGTGCCTTATGTGGCTCCCTCACTGAAATAACGAAAGCACTGAAGTGGGGCTTCAAAGCCAGCTATAGGCTTAGACACAGCCCCCGGCGAAAGGAGAAGAGCAGAAGCTCCTAGCTCCGGGGGCTGGTGACACACACATGTCTGCTTTGAACAGCTCTTCTAGGAAGGGCTACACCTTCTCACAAAGCAAATGCTCACTCACCATGTTTATACTGCCATGTACACAGAAAGCTACCATGTGCTCATGACCTGACAGACGCCAGAGGGCACCTAAGAACTATGTGGCCCCTTGTCTAGCGTGGGGCTGAAACCTGTGATCCTCCTGCCTCAAGCTCTTAGAGTGCTGGGATCACAGGTTCATGCCTCCACACCCAGTGCCCCATCAGCAGAAAACACTACAGATCTGCTGAATGAATAAATGGGACAGTCTTCTCTTCCACGAGTACAGTGTGGTCAGGGCCAGAAAAAACAATATACAGATACACATATTGTATGTAAGCAGAAAGAACAGATTTGTAGCTTGGGGGGGTGGTGAGAGGGATGAAGGGATAAGGTGGCTCACTGGTCCCCAGTGCTCTCAATTGGCATTAGTCACCACATGGCTGCTGAGCGGTTGGTTAGGTGGCATCACCATCCCAAAATATCATACAAGCAGTCAGCAAGGTCTCAGATTCAGCTTCAACAAAAAAGA